CCTCCTTGTCCACAACTTGTAATAGTGAAAAATAGGGACAGTACATTTATACGTACTTTACGCCACTTTCACTATTTTTTATTTTTCAGGGTATAAATGATATTGGAACAGCGGGATTAAACCTTTTGATCAAAGACAAAGGTAGTGACAGAGGAACAGGGAATTTCCCGACTCCCAGCTCCAAGTCCTTTCCTGCACGATTGTCCCATTGCTTGTATGAACTGTGAACTAAACATCGTTCCACGTGGAGGCTAAGAAGATACAAGCTGCACATGAATAAGGTGACACTGAGAACTCCTAGTATCTAGTAAGCAACATGCCTGTAGCACAATTTTCAACACTGAGAGAAATTAATGGGAATCTTCCCCACAGTGAATCGCGTATTCAGATACTTACATGTGCTCCTCTGGTCTGTGTGCAAATGCTTCTGTAGCCTTTGTGCAGGCTGGGAGCATCTGATGGAAACAAATTGTCTGTATCAGGTATCCTGAGGCCTTTGGCTGCATTTCCTGCAAGCACTGGTACCTTTAATGGCATTCCAGAGAAAACTTGCACACAAAGGTCTTCAGACCGGTCCCTGGGCTATGGTGTCTTTTCCTGTCTGTTTCCTTTGGTCTTCTCTTTGATTGTACTATTCAGTTTTTTTCAGATTGGTTTCACTCTTTAAAACGGAGATCCAAACAAACTCATTAGGTAACCTAAAATAATGAGTTTTCCAGGCTGACATTTATGAAGGGTAATCAGACCTTTGGAAAGCCTGAGGTTGTTCTGGGAATGTTTTATAATTTAATGGGATGACGCCAATTCAGGTGATCAAACAAACCAAGCTATGAGACTTTCTGGGAAAGTCCAGTTGTTTCTATGATATGCTGCAAGTTACACCTTGGCATCTCTTAAGATATGAAATGCTTAAGTATGCAAATAAAGAATTTTAACAAATATAAGGTACTGCAATGATGATTTGTAGGGAGTATAAAATGGATTTGATTGAGTGGAAATCATAGAATCATAGAATGGTTAGAGTTGAAATGTTTCTGTCTGGTGTAAAAGATGAACTAAAAAAATCTAGGAGAAAGCGTGTAATTTATCTCCATCTCCGTGCAATGGCTGTCTTCACTAGAGCTGTTTATTTCAGATGGTTATTCTGATTTGGCTATGACAGCCCATTATATACCCGGAAAGAACTGCAGACATTTTGGGTCTGAGCCTAGAAGGCTACTGCAGAATGATGTCCATGGTATAGCGTATCGTACGTATACATACATAGTACAATATTCTCTGCTTTCTGCAGATGCTTTAAAAATGCTCTTCCTCCAGAAGGAGCTTTGATGCGGGACAGGGACTGCACTGACCATCCAGCGTGTGGGCTTAGTAGGGCAAGGTGCTACAGCGAGCCTCTCCCTCTTCTTCATGCTCTGGTTGCTAAGGAGGCACAGGGTGCTGCATACCACCAAAACCACCTGAGCCCTCCCTTAGGTGGTCAGGGAGTGTCACAGAGCGACACTGAAATATCCAAGAGGTTACAGAAATTGCTGAGAAGTTAAAGGTGCATGTGGTTGCCACTAAGACTTGTTTAAAGGTCTTTGTTAGGTTACAGAGTGACCCAGCATCGTTCAAATGTTTCTTTCCTCAGAATGCTTATAGTTTGAGTATGATTAATGATCTTTATTAGATACCTGATTCTACAACTTCCTCTATAAGGAAAATATGCTCTGAAAAGGTATGTTGTACTGATGGGTATAAAACAAGACCAGGAAATCATGTTTTATCTGACACCACAGATTATATCTCTGTTGATGCAGCAACACAGGTAGGTTCAGTCCATGGCTAATCTGCTTGTCTCTTCTTCGTCAGTTTTACAGAGATCCATGAGTGCTCCCAAAGGAGAAAAAATGAAGATAAACTGCCTTCCAGTCCCATTTGCCACTTCAGAAATAACAGATTTTTCCCTGCAACATTGTTTTTGTGTGGAGGAATTACGAATAAGATGAAAGCCTCAAAGAGGAAAGCATACATTTCTCAGCAGCCGTCAGTAGCTCTCAGATACTTCTTAAAAGGCACACTGTTTCAAAACACAAAAGATAATTGAAAAGCAAGAAGAGCATTGAATTGCTTCTTCTGAACTTTGATAGGAAGGTCTTGGCTTACACAGGATCCATCACACTTTTTTTCTATACAAATAAAAAATGAAATATTTTCCTGGTATTTTCATAGGAAAGAATTAGTTCCTGATTTCTAGGGCTGATCAGAAAATCTAACAGATCACTGTGAGACTTAGAAAGCATAAGCTTTACAAATTCCTTCTTGAGGCAGGCAGATTAGCCAGAAGAAATGGAGCCAAAGAGTGCCCTTGGCTGAGACTGCAGCATTACAGAACAAGGCTCTGCAGGGTGGCTATGCAGAGTAGGTGAAATACAGCTTAGAAAACAAAGCATTGTTTCCTTCATATTATTCTTAATCTTCTCATGTCCTGTGTATATCGATGGTAAACTTACAACTGCAAATGTCGATGGTAGGGTTGGCATATTTTAGTTAAAGATACTGGGAAAAAGAAAAAAGGGTCCTGAAAGGAGAGCCCTTAAAATCTGTTCTTTGGCTGCAAATATTTCATCCTGACATACCAGATTTTTAATGATGGCTAGTCTACCAAATCTTAATGTCGCTAACAGGTAGCGACTTCAAATAGGAGCCTCATTTTACAAAGCATTTTAAAATCTATGTCTCTCACCTTGTGAGCCCTGATCATGAGCTCTGCAGCACAAGCAATGAAATTAGGTATTAAGCATATTCAGATCCACGATATGTTCACAAATATAATGTCATGCCAGTTTGTATAGTCTCCTGAAATCATAAAAAAGAGTCATAGATCTAGAGCCAATTTGCTACATTCATGCAGAATAAAGGAATCCAAATATCCAACATATTTGTTTGCAGCTGAGAGAAGAGGATTGTTATTTGCAGGGAGCAATTTAGACTTTGTTCCTGTTTCATTCGTAAGAAGAAAAGCGTATTTCAATTACTGATTACCTAGAGAGGTTTTCAAAATACAAATCAATGAACTTTGTTTTCCAAAGAGCCAAACTTCAGGTAGCTTTCTCCTTCTCTCAGCTACAAATTTCCCAGTAATATCTACAGGGAACTTGAATGAATTTACTGAATGTATGTGTACTTTGAAAACACTGGGATTTAAAAGAAATAGTTTTTTTTTAATTGGAGTGTGCACGCTTGTAGGCGTTTGTAGCGGCAATGGAGCTCGTAAGTAAGGCGTGAGGTGAGTACAATAGAAATACCACGATAAATGTGGGCAATAGATGACCAGTCAGGGTTCTCTTTAATTCCTCAGTGTGCATTTTTATAAACTACGCTTTCGAGATTCCCTATTTTGATCTGTAATTTTTTTTTTTTTAGTCAAACAAATTATGAATGTCTTCTGTTAGCATTTTCTGAAAATTTGCATGAGGATTGATTTGTATCAATTAAGTACCAGCACAAACTTCTGCATAACTAATATTAGAGCTTCTGCTCTTGGGGAGTTTTTTTTCTTTAGTACATTTAGGTTCTGATTTCATTCAGAGACAGTTGAAGGAAATGGATGTAACTTCTCTTCAAATATAAGGAGAGAAATTGCCCAAGATCCAGCCCATAATCGTCCAGGAATACATGAGGTATTCCTCCTGTCTATATTCCTTTTCCCATGATTTACAGCAGAGTTATGCTTCACACTGTCAAACAGACTACCTCACTGAAGTTTCAGTCTTTGAAAGCAATACAGTTCATGCAAAGTTATTGCTTGGTTGCTTAACAGAATACCTAGGTAATTTTAAATTTCAATGATTTTTCAGAAATTACTCAGAAAATTGCCAAACAGATTTCTTGCACAGATTCCTCATTAGTACTCTTAAAGCCAACAATTTTCTCAAGAATTTTACTAAGGTCACTATGTGGACCAGTTTACAGGTCCAAATTCAGCTGCTGACTTCAGAGACCTGACCTGGGACACCACACCTTAACCTAATTGTCTGGCCTCAGCAGGGTGCTTCAAAGCCACATAGGTGCCCTATAGGGTCAGAGAAGGGAGTCAGATGCCTATAGACTTTACCAGTGTTCAACACACAGCTGCCTACAGCAGATGCTCACCGTGGAGTCATGTCTATAAACTGTGACTCTACTGTTGCAGGAATGTTTTACAAAATTTTTAAAGGCAATTAATTGCCACGTAAGTAATTTCTATAAAGGATTTTTTCTCCTGTCTGCTTCATCTGATTGTGGGGCTTCATCATCTTTCTTTTCTGAGTAGGCATGTGATTTTTTGCTGCCACTACGGTTTTACAAATGCTCTTTCTAAAACACAGCCTTTGATAAATGGGCTGGTATCAGCCCCTAGCCATGAATTAAAACCAAGACACAGGCTTCCCCTGGAATTGTGTTTAGAGAAGTGTGCTGTGACTAACGAGGAGCACGGCAAGTGGCCCAGCACTGCACACATTTCATCAACGCTCGCTGCAGTTTATTCCTCTTCAGGACACAGGCTCCCCGCGCAGCTCGTCAGCCAGAGCACATCATCCCACAGCACTCTTCTTCATGTCGGCTTTGGGTGAACCGCAGTGCTCTTCTGGCCCTGAAAGGGACATATGTTAAACGCTTTGTGGTTTTTTTTTTCCTTTCTGCATGAACAGTAGTGCGTTTTGCCTATGCTTTGAGATTTTGCTCAGAAATTGAGAATTCATAGTACGAAATGAAGTCAAACATCCCTGCCTGGTGTTACTGGCTTTTATTGAGAGCTCAGAAACAAGCAGCATGCTGTCATGAAATGAGAGAGCGAGTTGTGGCTAAAAATCAATGATTAAAAGACAGTCATGAAGAATTAAAGTGCATGCTGACCGATGTCAAATATCATTCAAGAAGCAAATCTTCTGTCAAAGAATAAACACGATTCAAAATTATTTTTTACAAAAAACTTTCAATTAGATGGCACTCAAGGTCTTCAGTATGTTTTGGTTTCAATCCTTTTTCTTCCGACCGAAGGCTTTGTCCAAGCTGTTGGTGATCTTGAGGCAAGATTCGAAGAGTAGCACCATTTTTCTAGCAATGAGACTGATGAGACAAACACCGAGTTAGCGTTATGGGTTTTTTTTTTTTAGAAAAAGGCACTCTATAAACAAAGAAATTATAAGTTTGTTGCATATTCCCAACACTTGCAATGTCTGGCACTCCCATATTGTAAGTGGGGAAAATGACAGACAGATCAAGCCATTTTGTGGAAGCCCAGCCAACGCTGGAGGCAGTCACTGAAAGCACACAGTTCTAGCCCAGGCATTGCTCCCAGTATACCATCCCAGAAAAATTTTTGAAATTTCTATACCCAGCTATAGCTTAAGATGCATATTAGAGACAGAAGTGGCCAGAGGAATGCTATTCACCTGGATTAAAATTTAAACCCACTGTTTCTTCATAATTGGGTACGCATAACTGGATTTACTGCAGGAATACTAACTAAAGGACTGTTTTTACTAAACTTTAAAATCCTGCTGATTTTGCAGGCATGTGGCAAAGGAAAGAAGGCAATTCTAGAAGATGAGCCACATTCTTACGTTTTGAAAGCAAGAAAGTGTAAAGTCAGAGGCATGATTAGATAAAACTTTTCCTTTCGAATTGCATCCATGATCTTGCTGGCTACATACTCTGCATGATAAACAGGAAGAATGCAGTTTCTGGTGAAACAAGAAACAAAGCATTATGAAATTACAAAACCTTACTTTTGAAATGTAGTCTAACACAGAAACAATTTAATTAAATCATTTAAGAATTTTTCCCCATTCCTTCAAGTAGGCTGAAGGAGTCTCCGATCCTCTTTGTTCCTTCTATCATCAAAACACATTGAAAACACTCTGGTTGTACTGTGAATTTAATGACTAATGAGTAACTTTTTGTGCAAGCCCCACTCAGACTCTAATGAAGTTACCGCCCACAGTGGCTGTGGCATTGAAAACTTCCGAGCTAATCCGTAGTATACGCTGTTCTATGCATGAGAGTTTCACCCTCCGCACACCTCCTCCTTTTCTACCGTAGACATTGAGGTGATGAATAAATAGACTGGGACCAGGCCTGTTTCCAGCCAGGAGAAAGGCTGTGCTCTGCATAATACGTGCTACTACAGGATGATGAATGGTAGAAGCAGGAGCAGAGCACTGAAAAAACAAGGTCACTGATAATGCACTACTGCAACAGCTAATTCGGTGCCTGCAACCTCTACCATCACTACAACCATAGAGCGACCCACCAGATACTAACACCACAGCTATTCTCACTCAGAGAAGTAGAGCACCTGCTAATACAGTTAATAATGACAGGTCACCAGTATCCTGACAGCCATAACTGTCATCACGGTGCCAAAACTACTTGGGGCAGAGAACCTCAACAGTGCCCATTCTACTGACAGCTGAGGTTGCTTTAAATACTGCCGTGCATCCCTAACCATTCCTCGACTGCGAGGTTATAACGCAGTCCCTGTTGCACTTCAGTTATTAATTGCATGCAAAGCTTGAATTTTTTTTATGTCAAGAGACATACTTGTATGTGCCAATAGGGCAAAAATATTGTATTGAAAAGCAAATTAACCTTATAATAGCTAGAGACTGAATATGGTGTATCTAGTTAGTAGAGATTCTTTTTTACATATGAAATAGTACATGATCTAAGTTTTACTTACTGGGTTTGAAAACCTTTAGCTAATTCAGTGTTAATAAAATAAGGGCAAACGATTGTGATTTTAATGCCTCGTTTTCCTGTATGATGCAGCTCCGAATTTAAGGCTTCCATCATTCCAATGACTGCAAACTTACTTGCAGAATAATCTGAAAAGTGGAGAAAGAAGAAATATCCAAAATATGTCAAAAGCACCATAGTAAGGGTTATATACAGAATGTAATGTTTTGCTATGTAAGCTTTGATATTACTTAGTTATATCATTAGCAGTCTTGTAATTAGTATTTTAAGGATGCTGTGCGTATTGGTGATGCTGACTCTGAAGGATAATGGCTCTTCCCATGATTGACGCATGGTTGTCTAAGGATAAGACCAATACTTTCCAGAGGACTATTTTTCAGTGCATACAGGAAGATGAGCTTATTCATTATGTACATTTCCAGATACTCATATACATGCCAGGCATTCTTTCAGTTCAGAGCATCTTCACTTTTTAACATCACAGGTTACATTTCAGTAAGAACTATTTCTACTGGTAAAATCTAAATACCTTACTTACAAATGCTGCTTCAAGCTATTAGTTCTGATTTGCCCTGCAACTGCAACACCATTTTGTTTGCCCAGGAAGACTGTATCTTGATCAGACTTGTCTGATTTTTATTGTTTGATGAACGTATGGAACTCCATCACTGGAGATAATCAAAGTTTGCCCTCATGATGCCCTGTGCAACGTGATCTAAGTTGGGCCTGCTTTTATTTGGGGGTATGGACAAAATGACCTCCAAAGATTCCTTCCAACCTAAATTATTCTGCAATTTTGCAACTGTAAGAACTTTAATATAGGTATTTACATGTGGTTTCCTAACATTTTTTTCAAATGTGTGTGAAAATCCTTGCTAGGTAGAATGAAATCCAATTTTGCTAAAAGAGTAACTTTAAAAACTGGCATCAGAGACAGTTGGTTATTCTTCAGGGGTTCACCCATAGAGGATGATGGAACCATATAACCTAAAAACGCATAGCTAAGGTGTAAAAACTTACAATGCATGGATGGACAGGTCCACTCTTGTAAGCCTTACAGTTACATGATGAAAGCTAGACGTGACCTAATATTGATACTGAATCTGACTCAATAATAACAGGTGGCAAATAAACACCATCAATCAGCAGAAGAAACAAGAGATAGATACTCATTACACTGAAGTTCACATGCTTGTAGGGCGACCTAAGAGACACAATCAGAATGTCAGAGAGGCTTGAGGACAGACTGAGCAGCAGACGTAGGCTGAGGTAATAGTCAGGACCATAGCATACAGCTCTCCTGAGGGAAACAGCTGAGAATATAAAGCTGCTAAGTAAAACAGCTTAAACCACAATTCATTCAAATTCATTTTAAGGAAAATTCTGCCAACATGCTTTCTGGACCTGAAAACCATTTTCCAACTAAATGTACAGTTCCAGGTATAACCTACATATGTCTCAGGACTCTTGAACATAAATGGATGGAAAACCTGACATGAGAAAGAGTTAGACAACCTGTACTCAGGGCTCCCTGCCACTGCACATGTACGAGCTGTATTGTCCTTCTTCTGTGGAGATAAGACAGGCTACTGTCAGACAGTAGGATCTGCAGTGAGCTCCCTGTACCACTCAGGCAACACACCACCATCATCCTCTTCAATACACCACCACCTTTTGCACCTGCAGGCTCTTCCTGAGTGTTCAGTACATCAGTATAAATGTCTGAAACCAAGCATTTATGAGATCTCCAACAAAAGTTATTAGCACGTAGATCTAATTTGTACTGGCACTTGATGATACCAACCTGACATTCTGTGGACTCCCAACAATCCCGCTACACTGGCTGTGCTAACCAGGTGTCCACGGTTGCAGGTCATCATGGCTGGAAGAAAGGCCTTGCAAGTCTAAGAGGCGGATAAAAAAAAACGTTTTTAACTAGACATGCCAAAAATGTTGCGTTCCAAATTAGGCTTTACAACCAGATTTGCTATCTGGGGCTTCACCACACAAGAAGCCAAACAGGCCTTCTGTCTCTGTAAGAATTTATGAATGAGGGACAGCATTTCCTTGGATGGCTGTCCTCTACCTGAAGACCTGTCAGCATTAAAATCGTGTTATTGAAAGCAGCGAAGTTTTTATTTTCTCTGCCTCCCAGTTCCTCCTGGTTCCAGTCCTCTGACTATTGCCAAAGGTTTGGTACACAAGAGGGAGCTAGAAGTCAACACATCAAAGGGAGTTCAGCTCACCATGGACCCTATTTGTTACAAACCGAGCTGCCTGGCAGCTCCAGGCCCCCACACCACCACTGTGGGTGATATTAACTGTATAAGGAGGATACCGGTGTTTTATGAGAGGGGAAAAGAAAAAAAAAAGACATGAACAGTAAAAAAATCTTTTTCGATAGCTGAGATGTGCTGCAATGTCTATCGACTCCAGATGTGTGCCTAGTAACATGTGTTTTGGTCGAGGGCCCACAGTCAATGTCCTACTGCCCTATGTCTCTTCACACCTGCTAGGAAGAACATCTCCCTCTGTCTCAAGTATTTGGAGGAGTGATGCTCTGTGGACTGGGGAATGATTTGAGGACTTCTATCTGCAATGATGTTCTGGTGAGAAATGCCATTTAGAGAGGGATTTGCAATAATGCTACATTTTTCCCTGGTGCAGGCTGCTCACTCAGGCATATGAACAACAAATGCAAGAGGGGGAAAGAGCAACACTCCCTCACAACAAAACATCCTAAAGGTCAACTGAGACCCCAAATAACAGCAAATTCCTTCAGAGGTATGAAAACAAAACCAAGATAATACGTGCTATCCAGTTTTCTATGTACATTGAGCAGATGGCGATTAGGAATGAAAGCACAACCTGAAGACTGACACCAACACAGTGCTGCAACACGTGCTGCAGCACGTAATCCTAGAACCTAGAGTCATTTAGGTTGGAAAAGACCAGTAAGATCGTCAAGTCTAACCGTAAACCTGACACTGCCAAGTCCACCACTAGACCATGGTTGTGCCTCCCGACATGCTACAAGTCTATTAGACAAAGCCTTCTGATGCCAGCAAACATCAGGAGCAGGAAAGTCATCTGCCATGATGTCAGTGCTGACTTCAGCCACAGCTGTTAAAGATAGGGCATGTTTCACGATACGGTTGCACAAACTTTGGATTTAGCAGGGTGCCCGAGCAGGTTTGTGTTAACATTACTGAGGCATAGTGGGAAGACTGTCAATTTGGTGTGTCTCCAATTACAGGACAATTAAAAAGATGTATCTTCCTCCATTCAAGGCCCTTCCCATCCCTATTCCAAATTGGGTTCCGCAGGTAGGTGCCACCGTGGTGATTTTCCCACTAAAATACTTGCCTGTATCTTTCAGTCACCCAGGAGAGAAAAAAATTACATTACCCAGACTTGAGAGAGGAAGTTGACTCTTAAGGTCTTTTCAAAATCTGCATCTGGAATGTCACAGAACATTTTCCCAAGCAGTATGCCAGCATTATTGATTAGAATAGTAACATCCCCAACTTCTCTTCTAACCTGAATAAAAAAAGGGTAAACAGAAAGCCTTAGAAAGTATCCGTGCCTCTCATGCTTCATTTATGAAAATGTTTAGTGACAATTGCAATTATTTATATCTTCACTGGAAATGTAAGAACTGTTGTACTGCATCAGATCAAAGGTCCATCTAAGCCCTATAGCCCTTGTCTCATGGTGGAAAGCAGTAAAAAAAAAGACCAGGACTCTAAGATCTCCTCAAGTGTACTCCTCAACTTTTCACACTCTGCAGCTTAGGATTTTCCTGAGAGAGACAAGGTATCTATATCTTTGTATTTAATATAGCCTCAGTTTTTTTTTCCCCCCAAGAATTTGCCTAATTGCTTCCTGAAGTCGAGAATACTTTTGGTTTCCACAGGAACCTGAGGTAATGAGTTACAAAGCTTAGTGCCCACTGTGAGCATGATTTAATTGCAACCTGAACACTTATTGTCCCCTATTTCTGGTACTGTGAGAATCTGTATTCCTCAGACAAGCCTGTTCAGTCCCTTTTCCGGATCATATCTACGGAACAGGAAAGAATTCAGTGCAGATCCCTGGGGGATACCAATACTTTGAGTATAGAAGCACTGACCATTAAATAGACAGATAACATCACTGGGCAAGAAGGCCAAAATCACCATTAACTTGATTTGGGTTTCTTATAAAAAGATTTTATTCCATGATTTGTGTTTATATCAAAGCAGATGGCCAAGATTTACTTATAGTATTAAGAATCAGGCTCACTGCAGAGATTTCTGTGCTGGAGGCAAACAGGTATTGGATGTCTCAAAAACTATAGAAGAATTACAAAAACATAAAAAAAAAATCATAGATTTGCTGCTGTCTGGCAATTTGGAAATAAGCGCTTGAATCTGATGCCCCAATGTTTGACCTTCCTTTGGCTCTCTCAGGGCATCTTAGTGTTCAGTGAAGACCCTTCTGATACTCCTCCCGCGGTGTCAGGCTTCCTCCTTGTCACAGACAAGCAGGGCTCAACTACTACCACCTTTCCACCTGCACAAATGAATGCAAATCTACACCCTGCTGAGTATGGCAGGATTGCTCAACTCTTCTACATGGGACATACCTGTACTTTCTCGCCACTCGTACCTTTTAACTACTGTGTTGGTCCATATGATGATCCTCTTTTTCTTCACGTAGCAGCGGGTTTTTTTAATCTGGCTTCATTTGAGCTGTTTACTCACTAGCCCCCAAAAATGTGGGAAGTCTGACTTCCATTTACAAAAAGTCAAGCTGATTATTCTCCATTATGTATGTCTCTAGATGTCCATTAATTTTTTTCTTTATTGTAATTCCCACCAATTTTCTGTATGACAGGTTTGTAGTTTCTTGGTGTCCTCTCAAGTGCTCTTTCAAACTGGCATATTTCCTACTCCTTGTTTCTCGGATGCCTGTCGTAGCAAAACACCCCCCACGCATTTCTAGCTCATGAGCTCTGTATCTGATTTCCTTTGGAATTCCCAGGTGGACATTGTCTCATCCTGAAAATTAGTTGCTATTCACTTCATCAGTTTATTCTAAAACCTCTTTTTAAGGGACTTTGATGATCTCATTTGCTTTGTAGAAAGAAAGCTTACATTATGGGAAAATACCTAAGTTCTTCTGCAATGAATGTATCAAATAAAAGCAATTAATTTAACTCTCCTGCTATTTCTTTATCTTCTGTGTCCAAGCTCAAGATTTCTCCTATTACCAATCAAACAGTTGCAAGTATTTCCAAGAGTAGAGGCGACCTCTGACTGAAAAACTCTTGCTCTAAAAAAAATTTGGGCTCCACTGTTCAATTCATACAAATACCTACAAAGACATTGGTATTGTTAATGATAATTTAACACCTCAACAGCAATTTCTGAATTTGAAACAGGTCTTTTGAGTTTTTGCTTGTAGGTCAGTCTGTGCACTTCAGAATAGTCTTTGCTGATACAGGCACAGCAAATTCTGCAGGCTGGAGCCCTGTGGCTGATTCAGTTACTGTGTTTGGAGATTGGGAATTACTTGAGTGCACAAAACAAACATTTTGAGACTCTACTAAACTAAGAACAAACAAATAATTTCAAAACGTTCAGCATCAACAGGAAAGTCTAACAGAGAAATTACTTACAAAAGCTTAAACTAACCACTTTGGTGCATGTCTTTGCAAGAAGCAGGTAGCATTTAGGGATTCAAGACCAATTTGAAATGTTATTTTTAAGACATTTGATCTTGGTAAATTCTAAAGTGATTTTTTCCTTGCAAAAAGAGGGTTCTAGAAGAATTGCTGTTTGATTTATAGTATCATTGCAAATAAAGATCAAGTGTTACATTTGAAGTACTGACCATAAGTTGCTCAGACTGATTTTTCATCCTGCTGGGAAGCGGTAAAAGATATAAAGATTGTTGAAATGACCAAGATTCTTACTTCAAAATTGCAGGAGTCTTAATCCATGTCTTTTACACAGCGAGGATCACATCATCTGTACTGCCCAAGTGATTGGCAAAGATCGTCCTCCTTGAACACTGCGTGTTGAGTCAGTACGGAACACGCAACAACTTGCTCATCTCTGCAGACACACTATGTGATGTATCCTTGCCTGTACTGTCCAAGTAATACTATGATACCACTTGTGGTTCTTAACATCTACAAACAATGGTCCCAAATGGCATTTTTTTCTGTGCACTATCAGTTGGCTGTGCCCTAAATGCTTCTAACAAATACGAGTGAAATAACACCTTGTTGACTGCAAGCATGAGAATAGCAGTTCCAGACACGTACAGATACTGAATCCAACTTACCCTTTAGAAGTGCTTTTCATTGGGAACAATTCTTGAGGAAAAATACTTATTTCAAACTTTCATAGCTGTGTTCAGAAATAATTAATCTGTTTTGGATAAAATTAAAAGCAACAACTACAAAACAAAGAGCCCCCCTGATAACACATTGAAAATTAATGTTACATTTCAAGGCTATTCCAAAACAATCTATCAACATTCATGTGTCACAAAATATTTTAGCTAATTTCGCTGATGCATGCCTTTGGACACAGAATGTCAAAGATGTGACTTGACAGTCATGTCTAAATGTATATATATATATATGTATATATACTAAGAATTTAACAGAAGAATTTTTCCTTGGCTAAAACGGTAGAGTGGCTAACTGGATTATAAGAGAGGTTATATCGAGAAATATTTTCAGGCAGTACGTAGTTTAAGGACAAGTAAATTTAATAATGTTAATTTAATGTTCAATTTCTGGACTCTGATAATAATTTTTAAAAAGTAACATGGACCAGTTGGAGAGGGTCCAGAGGAGGGCCACGAAGATGATAAGAGGGCTGGAGCACCTTTCCTATGAGGACAGGCTGAAAGAGTTGGGGCTGTTCAGCCTGGAGAAGAGGAGGCTCCGGGGTGACCTTATAGCGGTCTTCCAGTACCTCAAGGGGGCCTACAAGAAAGATGGGGAGAGGCTGTTCAGGAGGGCCAGCTGTGATAGGACAAGGGGTAATGGTTTTAAAATAGAGGGAGGTAGATTCAGGTTGGATATTAGGAAAAAATTTTTTACCATGAGAGTTGTAGAACACTGGAACAGGTTGCCCAGAGAGGTGGTGGATGCTCCATCCCTGGAGACGTTCAAGGCCCAGTTGGATGAGGCCCTGAGCAACCTGATCTAGTTGGAGATATCCCTGTTCCTTGCAGGGGGGTTGGACTAGATGACCTTTGAAGGTCCCTTCCAGCCCTAACGATTCTATGATTCTATGATTCTATGATTCTATAAAGTGTAGGTCAGCACAGCAGAACAGTCTCATTTAAAATTGAGTCCTTCTCTATCTTACTTTCCAGCTGGATTGTCGAAAAAATAAACTGAAGCTGAATCATCAATTTGACTGGAAACCAGCTGTGTCCTGATGATATTTCTGAAACCATTACACCTTACACCACCCTTACAGAACTACAGTTTTCTAAACAAATGGACAAAGAAAAGGAACCTCCCTCTTACATTTCCACTGTTTTTTAATTTTTTTTCTTGATATCTTAAAGAAATTTTAAAACCTAAACAAGCTAATACATGGAGCTAACCTCTGCTCTATGTTTTACCATACTCTTAATCTAAAAGAAGTTACCATCTCACAGTGAAGACTGGAAATGAATAAATCTCAACACAACAGACAAAACCCAGTTATGTCATTGTGAACATAGTTTAAGTTCCATCTGGAAGAAATTGTCAAAAAGAGAAAATCATTGTCCTACATGATTACTTCCCTTTAGTGAATAGTACAGTTTCTAAAAAAAAATAAAAATAAAAATCAATACCATATACTAGCAAAAAGGAGCAAAAAATCAGAAGCAAGAAGCCAAATTAGAAGCCAGAAGCTGTGTCTTACCTTGTCTGCCTGTTCATAGACCTCCTCCCTGTTGCTGCAGTCACAGTGGTAGGCAAATACTCGTTTAGCTCCATTTTTTTGGGCTAATCTGCTTGTTTCTTTGTTACCTTCATCATCAATGTCCCAAAGAACCAAGGTTGCTCCCAAAGGAGCAAAATTTATGGCAATCTGCCTTCCAATCCCATTTGCAGAGCCAGTAATAAGCACTATTTCCCCAGCAAAAGTTTTTTTGCGTGGAGGAAATGGGAATAAGAAGAAATTCTCAAAAAATAAATAAAAAAATATTTTCAGGAACTGCAGTATCTTCAGGATGATCCTGAAGTCGAACATGGCTTTTCAGGCACAAACACGTCTCTTCTGTCATGTAAACCCAGAAATATAACGTTACCGACCTTTCGAAACACTGAGATATTGACCAAAAAAAAAAAAAAAAAGAAGATTGACTTTCAAACAGCTATTTCTTTCACACTGTTCTTTTGTGCAGGTACAAAATACATTACTAAAGACTTGTTTTGTGAAAGCTGCCGGCTTCTGACTAGCAGGATTAAAGCAAATATCTTCTGCTAGATCTACACACCTGCTGGGTCATTCCGGTCCTGGGCTTCCATCTCAGTTTCTAAAAAGGTTTAGTAACATACATTTTACATACGTATTTCGTGGCAATGCCTATAGAGTACTTGGCTTTCATAGCAAGGTGCTATCAGCTGAACCAAAAAGTACTGAAAACACTGGTGTGATATCAACCTCAGAAAGGAAGGTGTCCTCCTCAGCAGAAAAGGTGATGTGCTGCTTCAGGAAGCAGGCAACCAGAGCCTATCCATCCACACTGCCTATATTTTCCTGTGGCCGAAATCACAGAATCACAGAATGTTAGGGATTGGAAGGAACCTCAAAGGATCATCTAGTTCAATCCCCCTGCCAGAGCAGGACCACCTAGATCAGATCACACAAGAACGCGTCCAGGCGGGTTTTGAACATCTCCAGAGAAGGAGACTCCACAACCTCTCTGGGCAGCCTGTCTATCACACCACGTCTTCGTTTGTGAGCACATCACCAACCACACAGAACAGCGCGGCCCTGTGAGCTACGAACCTTGACTTTCATCCTGCATTTAGACCACACCATCTCCTTTACAGCATTTTGGACAGGAATGGCAAGGCTCAGGAGAAGGAGCGCCCACCACCGCCCCGCCGGACCCAGCCCGCT